TTTTTCTTCACTATAAATGACAACTGGCATGTATTGTTTTCAGTTATTATCAAGAAAGTGGATAGGCGGACTACGGGGTCTATCTAGCCAAAAGGATAGGTGGACCCCGGGGTCTACCTAACAAAATGTTAGGTTTTAGGATGTGAACCCCGGAGTCAGCGTAGTGAAATAAGTAGATCTAGGTTTAACTAAGGATCGGTGGACCCCGGGGTCAACATAATGAAATAAGTAGATCTAAGTTTATTTTATAATAGGACTGGCGGAGCCCGTGGTCAAAGTAGTGAAATTATAAATAGATATAGGTTTAATTAAGGATTGGAGGACCACGGGGTCAATGTAGTGAAATCAGTAGATCTAAGTTTAATTATGGATTGGTGGACCCTGGGGTCAATGTAGTGAAATAAGTACATGTAGATAGATCTAGGTTAAATTTTAAGGATTGGTGAACCCTGGAGTCAACGTAGTGAAATAGGTAGGTTTAAGGTGAACCCCAGGGTCTACCTAACGAAACACTAGTTAGGTTTTAGAATAGGTGGATCCTGCGGTCACCGTAGTAAAATAAGTAGGTTTAATCAAGGTGTCCCGGGGGTCCACCAATCCTTAATTAAACCTTCTTAATCCTCTATGGCCTTGGTGACTCCGGGTTCCACCAATCTTTAAAGAAACCTACTTATTTCACTGCGGTGACCCCAGGGTCCACCTGTCCTAAAACCTAGTACCAATCCTTACTTAAACCAAACCTTATTTCACTACGGTGACTCCGGGGTCCACATCCTAAAACCTAGTATTTCGCTATGCAGACCCCGGAGTCCACCTATCCTCTACAGGACTATACTATTATTATCAATTTGCAATTTCATTGATTAGCATTTTTGTTTAAATATAATATTGAATCAGAGTGCAGGGGAGACCGAGGCGCCCGGTCGATTCGGTGGTCGGCTTTTGTAGATCTATGCATTTTTTACGGAAAGCCGTATTACCTAACCCTATTACTAGATCTATTAGTGTTGTGAAAACTTCAACCTCTACAGCTCAGGCGTCAAAAGATGCTGGTAAATAATAATAGATCTACGTCCTGAAGTTTCATAATTTATTTTTATACAGAATAACACAGTACACAGTCAGTAGTTTTTATTTCATCGAGTTATAAAAATGGCCTTCGTATAAAAATTGCCTTGTTTTCAGAAGCAAGTTTTAATAGTTCTAGTTCTACCTAATCGATTTTCATGCGAATTCAACTATCTTGATGATCTTTCTTTTCCTTTTAAAAAGATGTAGATCTAGGCCTGTCGGATGTGGCAGTGCGAATAGCACTGAGTTGTTTAGATCTAGATCTAGATCTAGACCCATCAAAACACGAGGCTTCGTGGCCGATCACAAAAGTCTACGGGGCTTATCGAGGCCGATTCGCCCTGCCGCGAGCACGTTCACTAAACTGCCTACTAGATAGAATCTACTACCAAATATTCTCTACACGATCTTTGCTACTACTACTACTAGGCCTACTAGCCTACATGTACTACTACGAGACAGTACGAGAGAGTGTCACTCAGGCAAAGATAGTGTAACTTTGACTCAGCCACGTAGTATACACACTTTTTATACCCCAAATTTAACCCGAAAGTCCATTCGGAGGATTTGACCTTTTCACTTGACCAAAGTGTGCCAAAATGGTAGCCTAGCTTTTGCCCCTCCATGAAGGAAAAATCCGGCCCTCATTCAAACCATTGGAATTGAGCAAAATTTTGCGTTTTGTGCTTTGTTCTTTACAATATTCATTATGGTTATGATTTATAAGTTGTACACTAAGGCAAAACCATACTAAATGAGAAAGGGGCACCATTATGAAAGTGGAATGAACTCAGTTGCCTGAAAAGGGTAGTTTGAACATGTGTGGCCTAAATAAGCTAAACCCCCCTCCCTTACCTTATTTAGGCCATATGTGGCCTAAATAAGCACTCCCTTTCTTGTAACAAGTTTTGTAAGTAAAAATTGCATTTGATGAGCTGTGACGTGTAATCAAAATGTGTGTGAGAAGCAGGAAGTGCTGTGAACAATACCATTTTACGTGTGACAGAGATTTCAAGTATTTTATATGAATTTATGAAGAAAAGCTTTTTAATCTAGCCCCAATTGTTCTAGAAAAATATGATTTAGTTAAGACAAATTGATACAAACTGCTACGCAAAGTATGGATGAAACTGATTCACACGTTAAAGAGATATTTGAAGATAAGTTGCACCATGAATTTTTGACCGCACTATAATAGTACTGGTATAATTAGTATAATGTTATTGTTATCAATCAAGAAAAAAATCAGGTGTTACAACAGAGTTCAAGATTCATTCTTTCAGTAGAGTCAAAATATATAGAAATGTATATATATATGTTACTGATCCAGTAGAGATCAAATATGTATTACTGATCCAGTAAAGGTCAAATATGTTATTGACCCAGTAAGGGTCAAATATGTCACTGATCCAGAAGAGGATGTAACTGATCCAGTAGAGGTCAAATATATTACTGATCTAGTAGAGGTCAAATATGTTGCAGATCCAGTAGAGGTCAAATGTGAGACTGACGCAACACAGGTCAAATATTTTTATGTTACTAATCCAGAAGAGGTCAAATATTGTTACTGATCCATTGGAGGTCAAAATGTTATCGATTCAGTAGAGATCAAACCCGATATTTTGTTGATCAAGTACATGTAGATGTAACAAAAAAACACATCACTGATCCAGTCGAGTTCAGATATAATAATAATAATAATAATAATAATAATAATAATAATAATAATAATAGCAAAAATAACAATAGTAATAATAATAATAAATAATTATAATAATAATAACAATTATTATAATAATAACAATTATTATAATAACAACAATAATAATAATAATAATAATACCGTAATAAATAATTATAATAATAATAATAACAATTATTATAATAATAACAATAACAATAATAATAATAATAATAATATTAATAACAATAATAAAAATAATAACAATAATAATAATAATAATAATAATAATAAAAACAATAACAATAATAATAGTTCGCCTGTCAACGTCCGACGTTGTGAAATGCATCCGCAGAGAATATTCTAAAGCGAAATAAAGGTGGCTTCTGCGGTGTTCAATGAAACCCATTCTGGCAAAGAAAAGTGAGCCACATTTTGAGTATTCAAAAACTCCACTTCCACTTGTAAAAGGATGTGTGCAGCCTGTTGGCTTTTCTCTTGGTTTCAGCAATAGTTTAAATAATTTTTAATATGTGTGTGTATATATATATATATATATATATATGCAATATCAATATTTCACCCATTTGGGTCCATGTCATCATCATTATGTTTTATTTTTAAAAGTCCAGGAGTACGAGTCAGTATGAATGAGCCAGTGGAGCTCAAGCGCATCACAGACCGAGTATGTTTTGGTGTTCTACAAGTTACTGGTTATAGTTATAGTTGTAGTTGCTGTTCTGTTATCATTCAGTTGCCGTTGCTGTCACTGGTGGTGGTGGTAGAGATGCTGCTGTTCTGCTTGTGGTGTGGTTGCCGTAATTGTTGAGTCAGTTACAGTTGTTGCTGTAATTGTTGAGTCAGTTACGGTTGTTGCTGTAACTGTTGAGTAAAGTTAGGGCTATTGCTGCTAGTTATATTGATACAGCTGCTGTTGTTACATATGTGGTGCTGCTGCCGTTGTTGGTGCAGACCAAGTTGTTGCTGCTGTTTCTGTTGTTGTTGGTGACCAAGTTGTTGAAGTTGTTGCTAGTGGTAACCTTGTAGTTGCTGTTGTAGTTGGAGGTGATGGTGACCAAGTTGTTGCTGCTGTTGTTGTTGGGGACGAAGTAGTTGTTGCTGCTGTTGTTGGTGGTGGTGGTGACCAAGTTGTTGCTGCTGTTGTTGTTGTTGTTGTTGTTGTTGTTGTTGTTGTTGTTGTTGCTGTTGTTGTTGCTGTAGTTTTGATTAAGTTGTCAAAGTTACTGCTGCTGTTGCTGTGGCTGTGTCTGTTTCTCTTACTTCAATGTTACTGATCCAGTGGGAGAGGTTATGGATGTGTTTGCTGCTGCTGTTACTGTTGCTGTTAAATGTCACTGTTCCAGTTCCCACTGTTGTGTTTGCAGCTGCTGTTGTTGAATGTTTTTATCGATGTTGCTGTCATTTCTGATTCGGTTGTTATGACTACTGCCGCTGTTGTCATTGTTGTTGCTGCTGTAGTCGTAGTTGTTGATTAAGCTGTCCCCGGGGTTTTATGCACTCCGCATAATTTCGCAAAATTAGATCATTTTTTGCCTAATTTCTGATTATTT